CATTAAACCAATCCTTTCCCCCAATGCCCCTAAACCACTAAACCATTAAACCATTAAACCATTAAACCAATCCTTTCCCCCAATGCCCCTAAACCACTAAACCATTAAACCATTAAACCATTAAACCAATGCTTTCGGCCCATACAGGGATGTGTCTCTCTCTATAGGGGAAATGATTGGTTTAATGGTTTAATGGTTTAGTGGTATGGGGCAAAAGGATTGGTTTAATGGTTTATTGGTTTGGGTCCATTGGGGGAAGGGACCGGTTTAATGGTTTAATGGTTTATTGGTTTGGGTCCATTGGGGGAAAGGATTGGTTTAATGGTTTATTGGTTTGGGTCCATTGGGGGAAGGGATTGGTTTAATGGTTTAACGGTTTATTGGTTTGGGTCCATTGGGGGAAAGGATTGGTTTAATGGTTTATTGGTTTGGGTCCATTGGGGGAAAGGATTGGTTTAATGGTTTAGGTGTGCAAAAACCCAGGGGACCCCATATAGGGGGGTACCCATATATATATATATATATATATATAATTGTGTATGCATGTTTATATCTGTGCGTGTTTCTTGTTTTTGAAATGGGGGTCGGGTTTGCCAAGCCATTCCGGCAGTATTCTGGAACTCCATGAACGCGAGCACGAGCCCAAACTCCTCCTTCCGGTGCTGGGAGTGCTGGGAGCGTTTTGTCGCAAAGGTGTTGGCATCGTCTGTGTCGCTTGTCGGGAGGTGCCGGTTTGAACTTGAGGTGGTCATGCGTAACGGCATTGGGCTACTATAACAATGGCTTTTTTCATCGTGATCAGTTTATCTGTCTATTCTCTCAAGTTTTGCTACGCATAGCGATTTAGCGGTAGCATTGAAGTCGTACCATGTCCGACGATCCCAAGTCTGGTCTAACGATTTGTGATTGTTCCATAAATGCAGTAGAACTCTGAACAAGTGTGGGTGTTGGTTTAGGGTTGCACCTAGTTCATTCAGTTGCATGCGATTATTCGATTGAGTTACTTAGGTGCTTGTTGTTCAGTGGCTTAGATCTGAAACAACTGGTCTAATTATACCCCAACCTAGGGCAACTGTGGCAGCCGAAAGGTTTTTCCCTTCGGCAGTGACTCAAGGCTTGCCCGGATTAGGCAGATTACTTCCCCGTAATTCTGTGAAAACCAGGGTTGCGGGGTAAGGGTTTAGAGGGTTTTGGCGTGTGTTCAGAGCGACTACTGGTTCCACTCCACATGAAAGGACGGCAGCAGCCCCCCGCGCAGATGCGATCCTGAAAGAGGATGCGGGAGCCGGTTTGGGGTGGTGTAGAAACTAGACTGCCGATGTACTTCGAGACCAGACCCTCAATCCGCAAACACTGAACCCGGCGCTGCACTATGCTACTAAGCCCTCATTAAGCCATAAACCGTACTACAGTTCTAAGCCCCAAAATGTCCACGCCGTTCTGAACCCTCAGCTCAACTTCGAACCCCTGAAGCTGGAACCCGAAACCCTGAACCCGAAAGCCTCATACCCGAAGCCCTAATCTGAGGCACTGCTGGAAAGGAGCGAGTAAGATTGTTAGTTTAGGTTTTAGGGTTTAAGAAGACTTACTGGTTCTTTCTGTTGGCTCTAATGTACGCCCTAATGTAGCTAGTTCGAGAAGGAGGACGGTACCATCATGTGTACCCCCCCCCCCCAATGGCCCAAGTGGATCCAAGAGCTAGTAAGGTGGGTAGTCTGGTGGCAGAATACGTAGCTCGTACGGGGGGGAATTTTATGCTCTACACTTCTTCGAATCACTTGCTCTGTTTGCCACATCGCAGCTTGCACACTCGCAGAGCATGGGCCTTGGGCTGCGCGGAATGTTCCGGACGTGATGTGAGTTCTGTCACTGGTTGAGCAGAAGGAACAACACATAAAAATATCGAGGCTTCTCTGTTACGGCCAGTGCTATGCATGTAGGATGGGAAGGCCGCATCCGTTGTGAACCGCGAAACCCCTCAATCCTACAGCCGAACTTAGTAGTATAGTACGTAACCTTTAACCTCTTATAACCATTATAATGTCGCCTTAACGGTTAACCTTTAGTTCTTCTGGTATACTGGACAAGTAGGCCTGAACCCAGGACTCTGCCTACTCAAACTGGAAACATGATCCTCAACCCCCGGAACCCTAAATACTTTGATGTCTGAGGTCAGCATATCTCAGACCCCTAAATTCAGACCCCCTGACATGGAAACCTTACAAACCTCCGAACCCCCCCAACCTCAATGCTGGACAGAAGCCGAAAGCAATGTCAATATTAGTTGTATTTTTGGGGGTTCCGCAATCACACCTACATATACCCCCCCAAACCGCAGTCTTAACATTCAGGGCAAGTTACAAACTATCGAAACCCTCAATCCTACTCATACTCACTGACTCACACTCAGCCAGGCGCAGCAGAACCAAGTTCAGCCAAGCCGCGCACTCTACGAAGGTGTGGCTTCTGATTGGTTCACGGCCTCAAGAGGTGGAACAAGGGTTTTGGCCTTTTTATTGCCTGGTAGCTGAGTACTGAAAGGGTTGGCCTTGTTTTGGGCCAGGGTACTTGGCCCTTACATAAAATTATTGCACTTGTATCTCGGGCCGTAGCAGTATATAGAAAATCGTGCATGATCCACAGCAGAAGAGTAGAATTATTTTAGCTAGCTCGCTCCCCCTCGCCCTCTGACGTCAACGTTCATACGGCAGAGGCATGAGGCACGATGTCGTCCATTCGCACGTATGCCTTGTTGACGGCCGTTTGGAGAGGCAGATGCTTAATGCAGGATGTCGTCCCTTTGCACACACGCCTTGTTTGACAGCTGTTTGACATCAGAGCGAAGATCCAGGGTTTTCTTCGATGCAGGGTGTAGATCCCACCAGTGCTGCTGGAATTGCGACGATAGCGCAGAGTTTTTTGACTGTGGACGGGTTGTTGAATGGAAGTTTGTTGGATGAGACAGATGTTTAAATGATTATGGGTTATTCCTTATTAGGGCTGCTGATTATCACTAAACGAAAATCGACCTCGCAGCCCTTTGATCATTAAGGCCCCTACTTTAATGTTGTTGTTAGTGTGTTGTTTTTTACTGTTACTAGTGCTATTGTTATCAGTTACTACGCATTATAAGATCACCATTATCATTATTATTGTTATTCTTGCTATTGACGAATATATTCCTATTACTATTCCTATCGTTATCATGAGTGTTATCACTCCTGTTATTAGTTTCATAATTAATGTGTTCTCAAACATGCCCTCTGCTTCCGCAGTGCGCCGGGGAAAGGTGCCGTGGTGGCAGCTGGAGCGATGCAGCAGTGGGAGACTGCACTGGCCTATCTCGTCGAGGCATTGGCTGTGCAGGTTTACCCTAAACCCTGAGCCCGACAACCCTAAAACCCTAAACCCTAAAACCCTCAACCCTAACTCCACGTATACAGTCAGCTTAGGAATACCCATAGTCTCCATTGTAGTTCCCTTTTTTGGGTATATAACCAGTTTTATCTTTAGGATCTTATAATGGAGATTTCGGACAATGGAGACTATAGGTAAACCACAAACCGTGCTGGATGCTCTAAACCCAAAACCCTCTCTCAGATGTTTCAGTGTTGGCGAAACTGCGGGGGAAGTTCAACTGGCAGCAACTCTCGCTCTTGTCGCAGATAGCTTGAACATTGCCCTCGTATCATGGACTAGCGCAGGCCATAATGCAGAGTCGAACGAGAGCTTGGAGCGCTAAAGGAGACATCGCAAGCTAGAGCTTTCTGGCCCGATGCGAGGCTTCATTGCAGTATCTTGTCTCACTGGGTTGCTTACTTCTCTTGCAAGGAGCAACCCTAAACCCTAAACCCTAAATCCTAAACCCTATATGTTACCTGATTGAAGTGCCGAGCTCCCTAAACTCCAAGCAGGAAGGATGTCTTGTCGTCTGTCGCGAGATCTAGGGGATGCTACCGTTTAGAAGTACCCCTCAGACCGCGGCCCCTAACCTCCGAACCCTGCATGTCCCCTACTTTAAGGCCAAAGGGATCCTTTAAGGGATCTATAAGGGTTTAGGGTATTATAAGGGTCCATGCACCCGAACATGTCCCGTCTCACTCTTTTAGCCCCACTTTGCGCTTAGCTGATTTCGTCAAACCCTAAGGGTCCTGTACACAAGTAGTATATACTTTGGCCCCACAGTACCTATACATGTAGGGCCTACTTTACTATTAGGGTGCATGGACCCTTGAAATACCCTAAACCCTTATAGATCCCTTAAAGGAGCCCTGGAAAAAGAACCCTTAAAGGAACCCCATAGCCTATAGATGTCAGGATCGACCGCAGTCTTTAGGTACGGATTGCGGCGCCGGCTTCCTGGCGACTGCAATAGCCAAGCAAAACAACCAACCGCCAAGACACAAGTTCAAGCAATAGGTAACACTTCTAGCTCCCTTACAAAGAACCCCCAAACCCTGCAGTAGTAAAGAAAGTAAAGCTAGTGGTAATAGTAGTGGTAATCATACTCTACTATTTGCTTAAGAACCCCCCTCAAAAAAAATCTATTCCTTATAGGGATGATAAAGGGATTATCATTGTTTACTTTTTGAGGGGGTCTTAAGCAAGTAGTAGTACTAATATTGACTATGGCCTTGGGACAGACGGCGCTGCAATGGTGCTCCCTGAATCATCTCACACCCCAAAACTGCCCAGGCCTTCCGAAATGCCTTAGTTATGGATTCCCGAATGTTGAGGAAACCACTCAATTATTCCTGTATCCAACCTTTGACATCGAACCTTAGACCCTACACCCTCAATTCTGAGAACCCTTATGCCAGAACCCTATCCCGAAACATCCCGAAACACAATTAAAGCCCGAAATCCCATACGCCTTTGACAACCCATAGACCTAATACCGTGGTTTAGGGCTTAGGGTTTCTAGTTTAGGGTGTAGGGCTTCGGGTTTAGGGCTTTTGGTTAAACACAACGCATAGAGACCAGGCCCCCTTAGTCGCGCCATGGAGACTCCTCTGATCAATAAAGTCGGCAGCACTCCGGAAGCGAATGCTGCCTGGCAATGAAGAGACGAAAGCCCTGGTTTTCGATATCATTGCCCTAAGGATCCAAGTTCAAGTACTCCGTGGTATAGCACTTTTCGGCATTTTTAAAGTACCAAAACATAAAGGACGACTACTTGGACCTTTAGGGTTAGGCTTTAGCGTTGATTCTCAACCCTGCGTGGGCAGACTAGAAGTAATTAATGTCCTAAAGCGAAATCCTCAACGCCCTGTAGCCAGAAGGCCGTAAACCTCAAGCCCGAAACTACTGCATCGTTTCCAGGGCTTTCCGGAAGATCATGTAGGATTTGCGGTGCACCAGCCGTGTGTACAAGGTCCGCAGCAAATCACTCGTTGCCTTGATACTACGTTTGCCCTTCTGTGTGTATTGCAGGGCTCAGGACATAGATTTCTGATGGGGGTCTATGTTAAAAGCACACGGTACATCAGACTGGGGCTCCGGCTTACGAACAAGATCCTGGTAGCCAGCTATGATGGAACTTTGTGGCCTGCTTTGCCATACTGCTTGCCTTGCCGCGCTGTCGGAAGTGGTGTGTTGGTTCGCTGGCTGCCGGCATTTTGTCCGGAGTGAAGAAGTGTTTACTCGCAGAATGCTAGTTGGGTGCAGGCATTTGCCTCAAGTACTTAGTCCAGGCCAGTTCAAGAATCAAGTGCTTAACCCTACACCCCTGACCAGAATCCCCTGAAACCTAAGCCCTACTCCTACACCCCTAAACCCTAAACCCGAAAACCTACTCCTACACCCCTAGCCCCTAATCTCTAAACCCTACTCCTAGACCCCTAGCCCCTAAACCGTAAACCCGAAACCCTCCTCCTACACCCCTAAACCCTAAACCCGAAACCCTACTCCTACACCCCTAGCCCCTAAACCTTAAAGCCCAAACCCGAAACCCGAAACCCTACTCCTACACCCCCAGCCCCTAAACCTTAAAGCCCAAGGCATCACAAACTGGAGCTTTGCCGGGAAGGAAGCTCTCCAGGCCGGGAGCGCTGGCGGCTAGGTCTAGGGTTTAGGGTTTAGGGTTTAGGGTTTTTGTGGTTTTGTATTTGAGCGTTTCCGAAAATCAGGTGTACTTTTAACGGGATCCTTTAAGGGTTCCTACAAGTATAGGTTCTATAAAGGGTTTAGGGTTTAGAGTTTCCAAGAATTCCGGGTACCTTATTTTGAGCTGCTTCTAAAACTAAGGATCGTGCCACTTTGGGCACTTTGTTAGGGTCCCCTGTTTTCGGAAACTCCGGTTCATGTAATGATGCCAAAAGGATCGATCAATTCCATGCTAAGGTTTGTAATAGGAGTCTACAAAAAAGTCGGTTCTGGTAGGTTAAGTTAAGGTACACCCTAACGCTAAGCCCCTAAAACGAAAGCAGGCGGAACTGAGGATCCTACTATTTAGGCTACTTCATTAAGGGTTATATACCTGTTTTCGGAAACTCCGCCAAAAGGCGGAACTCGTCCCCGAGTCGGAGCCAGCCAATTTCTTGGCGGCAGGTCAGTCGGTGACCCAGAGCCCAACAGTGGTGGAGTACCTCCCGAAAAACCTACTTATTTTGGGCTCCTGATCATGACATCCCTATATAAGTACTTGAGAAGGTAGGTCACTTGCGGCTAGGGTAGACCTAAACGTAGTTTCTGCTTTGCTTAGCTTCGTCTCACATTGTAGAACCCCCAAAACGTATTATGTAGGCAGGCTTTATTGGGCCTTTACTTTTGCAATTGCCTATGCCATTTTGGGTATTCCTTACTGTAGCTATAGTATAATGGGCCCAAAACCCTATTTTTATTTTGGCCCTTATATTACAGGTTTTGAACAATATGGGCTTATTGGGTTTGGTTTAGGGTCCAGCTTTATTTCGGGTTTACGCCGCAGGGTCCACCAAAGCAACCCAAGCGTAGGATAACTGTTCATGAGGTTTAGATTACAACCCTAAACCCTGAAACTTTTCAGCCCTAGACCCTGATCCTCAACTCACACACCAGCGATCGAATCCTCAAGTAAGCACTTTAGACCCGACCCCTGGTTGCGCATCGTTTAGGGCCTCAGCGTTTAGGGGTTAAGGCCTTGGGACTTTTACGGTGGAGTCGTTTCATGAGAAAGGCTGTAAGGTTCCAAGACTTAGGAAAACTGCGACCTTTGCCCAGAACGAGGAATAGTTAAGTACATGTTTGCATAACATGTAACACCTACTTTCATACATGTTCACATACACACATTCGTACATACATGCATACAGTATAAGTACTTGAAATGGGCATGCCCTTTTTGGCGGACTTTGTTTGGCTGAGGCTCGGACGTCACCAGCCTCACCACACCTCCACTTCGACCGAAGAGGTGCCCCGTCGGGGTTTAGGGTTTAGTGGTGTAAGGTTTAGGGTTCATATAGGGGTTTAGGGGTTAGGGGTCCTGGGTTTAGGGACTTAAGATAGTTCCCTCGAGAAGGCCTGTATAGTACCTTTTAAGGGTCCATGCACCTTTTAGTCTCATGGTTGTGGCGGTTTAAAGCTTTTGTAGGGTTCTATATGGGCGCTCCTTCCAGGTGGTGTCGGAATGTGGCACGGTTTGACAGGGTTCGTCGTTCTTGTTCACAATCACTATTTCGGCTGCCAGCCTTAGTACTTACTTGAGTGTTTTCGGCCTTTTGTGTTACGTCTGTTTGCATTTGTCGTACGATTTTCTAGTACTTTTGCCATTGCTTGAGCTGATAACTTTCGCAATTGCTGCGTTAAGCGTTTGGGGCGGGTTTCAGGGCTTAGCTTTCTCTGTTTTTTCCGGATTGCCTGTTCATACTGTTGATGATATAATTCCTGCATTACTTTAAGGACCCTAAACTATGGGAATTATGGTATATTCCTTATTATGGATAATGCAGGATTGCAGGATTTATATTATCAACCGTACTATTCCTTATGCAGCCACTGTCATGGCTGTTTTACGTCCTATGCCCAACAACCCAACGACAGCAACAAACAATAGCATGTTTCCGAAATCGCAAGGCCTTAAACACAGAAAGCACACACCTCCCTGACAAGACAATGTCCCCAGAACGATTGAAACGAGACAATGTAGGGGCCGCCACAATTGGTACACGTATCCCTGTACAAGCCCCTGTATACCTATATGTACAATATACCCCCAAACCCTATTTCAGTTAGTAACGCCCCTTTAGACAGCCTTATTTATAGTAACCCTATAGCCCTATAGTCCTAGTTAGAAAAATCAACGTAGACTGTTGAACCTTCAGAGGAATCCAGTTTCAATTGCTAGGACCCTATATTAGCAGCCTGTGGAGGTGTCTGCTCGATGCAGAAATGCCTGACATAGCCTTGCCGGGCAGTGAGGCCTCTCTCTCCTGTCACCTCTTGTCTTCGCGGTTTGCGTTGATTCTTTAGAGGTTGTGTGTGTGTGTGTGTGTGTGTGTATGTGTAGGAGGGGGGTTGGCACTGCGCACTCTGCGCTGGTAGCAGTGTCAGCTGGCTTGCTGTGAACTGGCTTTGTTGCTTGTAGCCGTTGTAGTTATCAGGTCTGCCATTCAGCATCAGTCAGTGCAGTTTTGTTTTTGAGCGCTGGGCTTCTCCGTCAGTATCTACGACTATGGCCGACTACAGTGTCTGGGTCATTTCTGTTCCTTGATAGATTGTGGCTTCAGGGTTTACAAGGCTCTACAGTCTTCTGAACTTTGGGCTTAGGGGTCCCAAAACAGGGAGTGCTCGGACCCTTAGGGTTATCAGAAGTCTCATAATGTAACCTGTATATGTATGCTGTTTGAATCTAGGAAGTATGTCCCAGCACCCCGGCCGCAACGATTAAGTTTCCTCTATCTCGTAAGTTCGACCATTGAGCTGCAACAAGACTGGCTTGACTCCTGAGATTGATGAAAAGTTCTTGTATTTACAGTCAAGAACAGAATATAGTAGTCTTCTTGCTCATCATCATAGTACTCTTAGCGACATCCAGCAGGCAGTCGGGGCAAAAGGCTTCCAAGTCCAAGACCAACAGTCGCGGTATCCCTGAGATGACGTTGATAACCCTTCGCAGGATCAGGAGCGGAGGTGTGCCTGCTAAGGCGGCTTAAGTACGCAATCAACATGACATCCGTTTATGATCAAATGTACAAACCACAGTGGGAATGGCTGACGGTGGTGGCGGGTGTAGTTCTTATGGAAGCTCGACAAAGCAGACACAACCGAGCTGACTTTTGGGTTAGCGTCTTCGACCAGACCTGACAGGAGCAGTTGCCGCAGAAGGAGGTGAGTTCTGATGTGCCTGTCCCAAGTCAGGTGTTAGGGTTCGAATCCAGGGACCGGGAGTGCTACACATGGATTGTTCCGAGAAAATCATGTAGCCGTTGCCTTACCCAGACCCGAGCATATGGTAGTGGTTTTGTGTACCTTGGTTTCTTGTCTTTTCTCGGGGCTTGCGGCATAAGGTATTCATGCTACCACACTACCGTCAGTCGGAATGGTAGCTTCCCTACCGACCACCTTGCATTTCCAGTTATGCACGGAGTTCGAAGTGTTGAGGAGCTGCTGAACAAGCAGCACTTGTGCTTTGTGCTTTAGACTTTCGATGTGGGTGCACTGTGCGTTCACTAAACCCTAAACCCTAAACCCCGGAACCCTCAACCCATGTTTTTGTTCAAGAGTCTCTAAGACTCTAAGCCCTAAACCCTGGCCGAGGGCTCGAGATTCGACAAGTGGACCCGGAAAGAAGCCATTCAAATTTTTCGGTCTGTTTAAGGACCACTGATTTGGCATAGTCACCGCTCCGAAGCCTTAACCCTGGGTCTATTTATGTGGCAAAATCTTACAGCATCAAGCCTGAAACATGTAACCTTGAGCCCAGTGCATCGACACCGTACTTCAACTGCCCTGCAGCCAAGTTAGGATTCAGAAAATGAAGAACAACGCCAGTAGCAGATCCGCCGACGGGTTTCTGGAAGCCTTGCTAACGCTTTTATAGAAGCCTTCTAAAAGCCACCTGCGTTCGAAGAGGAATCAACAGCCGCCTTGGAACCCAAACAGTATCCTCAAGCAAACCCTGTTTGAGCCCTTGTAGGGGCTCCACCTACTGGAGCCATTAAGCCTTAGTGGAACCTTAAACTCTAAAAGCTTAGCCTTAAGGGTCCAGGTACTTAATAGTCCTATACTCCCGAAGACTAACCTTCAAAGCTACCAATCTAATCCCAGGTACATACTTTTTGGGCCCTTAGCGGTAGAATCTTAGAGCCCGAAACCTCAACGGTTGCAGCCTCAGTAGAACCCCAGGAGTTGGGCGTCGGAGAGACCATCTTCAACCTGTCGAATACCATGGTCGGCAGCGGTTGCGACCTTGGAGAGGTAGGCGTCAAGGTGGGTTGTGATGATTTCGATTTTTACAGATATTGCATCCATATATATATATATATATATATATAATACATGCACATGTATGTATATAGTTTTGTCTTTTAGTATTGGGTGTTTGTATGAGTAGGACGAGTATGAGTACGACTCGTCGCAGGAGTAGGACTGAACCGATGAAGGTCGAGGGCTTCAGTCGATGAGTGGGGTTCTGCGTTTAGGGTTCAGGCTTTTGGGTTTAGGGTTTCGTGTTTTGGGTGTAGGGTTTTGGGTTTAGGGTTTTGGGTTTAGGGTTAAGGCTTTTGGGTTTAGGGTTTTGGGTTTTGGGTTTAGGGTCTAGGGGTTAGGGTTTAGGGGTTTAGGGTTTATGGGCAGGGATTTTTTGGGTTTATGGTTCATCGTTTTGGGGTTTATGGTTTAGGTTTTAGGGTTTGGAGTTTCGGTTTCATTTCAGGGTTTGCATGTTCAGTGCTTAGGTTTTGACCGGGTGCTAGTCTTGTCGCCCTTGGTTCTTGCGCAGGTCTTTCCCTAAGGCTCCAAGTATACAGACAGTTTATAAATACCCATAGTCTCCATTGTAGTTTCTTTCTTTGGGTTAACCAATCTCGCAATTAGGATCTTATAAGGTAACCCCAAAAAGGAATACACTAGAGACTAGAGGTCTTATGTATTTTGGCCCTGAGCCCTAAACCCGGCATGTTCCCTAAACCCTCAACCCTAAACCCTGAACCCTAAACCCTGAACCCTAAGCCATGAAGCCTCAACCTTGAACCCTAAACCCTGAAACCCGATTCGTAAACCCTGAACCCTAACCCCTGAAGCGGCCTAAGCCTTGAACCTGAACCCTGAACCCCCCCCTGAAGCCAAAACCTTGAACCCTAAGCCCTGAACCCTGATTCGAGGATGTCCAGTAGTACCCTTATTCCTTTTTTGTAGTCCTAGGTTCCTTATAAAGTTACCCAATACCAAAAAGAGAGGCCTTTTTAGTCTTAGGTTACTGGGTATCCTAGCCCTTTGATTAAAGGAACCCTAAACCCTAAACCCCTAAGGACCCCTTAAAGGAACCCTAAAGATCCCTTTAAAGGAACCCTAAACCCTAAACCCTAAACCCTCCTAGTCCTAGCTGATTCGTAACCCCTAAACCCTGAACCCGAAGCCCTGAAGCCGAAGCATTGCTAAACCCTGAACCCCAAACTGCATGCCCTAAGGCTCCATGTACCCATATAGTAGGTACTTAGGCCTTATAATAGGGATCCCTATATGGGTACTTTCAGGCCTAAGTATATACTATATGGGTACATGGAGCCTTTGGGTAAATTGCATGGTGGCTCAGGCGTTCTCTCCGTTCCCTACGCCTTCCGCTCCTGGGCCGGACTAACAGCGCGGAAGGCTGCGGAGTTTCTAGACTCCCTCGGTTGATGATACGGTTGATGGTATAAATCCTGCATGACCTTAAGGACCCGAAACTATGGGAATTATGGTATATTCCTTAATATGGGTCATGCAGGATTTATATCATCAACAGTATGAATCCTGGGGCTCCTTTAAAGGGATCTATAAGGGGACCTTGAAGGGGCTCCTTTAAGGGATCTATAAGGGGTTTGGGGTTTGGGGTTATAAATCCTGCACTACCCATAAGTCCCATAGTCTAGGGCCACGAAGGTAGTGCAGGATTATACCATCAACCTTTACGGCTTTGCGGTTTAGGGTTTGGGGATTGGGGGCTAGGGCTAGGGTTTAGGGATTCGGGTTCAGGGATTAGGGATTTTCGCAGGGCTATACTCTCGCATGTATGAGCCCTAAGCCGTAAACACCCGAACCCGACTTCCCAATTATTGGCTCCATTGGGCCCTTACCCTAACCCACCAGAACCTAGTGTTTTTTTTAGGGTCCCTATAAATTCGACTTCACCGTTTTTAATAAGAACCTGCAAAAAAGTAGGGTTTGGTAGGTTCAGGTAGCGTTTAGCTTCGTTTCTGGCGGCCCCTTTCCCGATTCAGACCCTTAAGACACTCTTGGAAGGTCCTCCCGGAACTCCCACCGTTTCGGGTTCAGGGCAGCGGGCCTGAAACCCTCAACCCTGACCGCTACACCTCTTCAATCCAACAACCTAGAAGACCCTTTCGTTGATTGGGAAAGAGAGATTTCGGGCGGCGAGCCACCTGCGTTTCCAGAAGACATGGCAACATGAGGTCTCTGTGTCACGCTTCGTAGCCCCGAGAGCTTGAGGGGTCGGGGTGGGTGTTCCCCACTAGGGTTGAGTTTTGTCGTTCAGGCTTTGAAGTTAAAAGTCTCTCCAGTGTACATAGCCGAAAGGAGGAACGGGTCGACCCATGCCGAATGGCACTTAGGACTATTGGACACGGCCACAGCTCTCGTGAGACGACATGAACGAAGAGTGCACGAAGAAATTCCGTGGATCATTGGATGTTTTCTGCGGTTCGGTGTCAGACACTGCAACAGGTCCTGTGGACGTGAAACCCACACCAAGTTAATTGCTGAGTGCGTCCGACTGGCGGCTTCAAGACCATGAACCTCCAAGCAGATGCATGTGCTTCTCCTAAGCGGCCTTCTGGAAGATGCTGTGAGGTTTAGGTTCAGCATAACACAGTCTACCGGCCAGGGTTGTTTGGGGTTTAGGATTAAAGACAGTATCTCCATGCGACGTTCTCCCCTATGCTAATCTGTGCTCGTCATCATTTCCTCCTTATGAACATAATTATTCAGAATCGCACAGATACGGTCATTAGATGGAGTGTTTGTCTGCATCCCTTAAGGCCGTGTCTCAACTTTGAGGTTATTAAGGCTGCCATGGCCTCAAAGTCTTGGATGGTTCGGTTGTCTGGGTTGCGGGGTTTAGGGTTCAAGCATTCCGACCTGTGCGGTGAATCCTGATTGTAAGGCCTGCGTTCGAAAAGCTCCACATCCGGAACCGCAGCTTAGGGGTTTTAGGATTCCTAAACGGTTCAGGGTTCAGGGGTGTAGGGTTTCGGCTTTTTGGAAACCTGCAAACCCTAAACCCTAAACCCTAAACCCTAATTGAATTAGGCCTGACCCGCTACGTGGCCGTGGCTTTGCTGGCGCTCGTGGTTGCAATGCCAGGGCCCGAGGGCTCCGCCTTCAAGGGTTTAGGGGTTTTAGGGTTTAGGGTTTGGGGTTTGGGGTTTAGGGTTTAGGGTTTAGGGTTTAGGGTTTGGGGTTTGGGGTTTAGGGTTTAGGGTTTAGGGTTTAGGGTTTGGGGTTTTCGGGGTTTTAGGGTGTAGTGTGTAGGGTTCGGGCCGTTTAGGGTATAGGGTTTAGGGGTTCAGGGTTTAGGGTTCAGGGTTTCGGGCCGTGTGGGGGTTTAGAGGTTTGGGGTTCTAGGGTTTCGGGTGTAGGGTTCAAGGAGTCGACGGGGTGTAGACAATGTACGGATTATAAGGTTTCGGAGTTTCGCAGCCTGGATTCCAATGTTTAGCTCAAAGCCAGACCGAGAACCCCAAGCCCTAAAATTCTAGAGCATTTGACCCCAAACAGCAAACCATACCAATCCCAAAGTGAGGCATGTTGTTGCATGTTGTTTGCTGGCATTGCACCTTGAACAATAAATACTCAGTCGAGGGTGTTTGGTCGAGGATGAGAGAAGCCAGCAATCTTCCGACTTACGTTTCGAGGTTTAGGGTTCGGGCACTTGAAAGAGCTCATTGCCATTGAGTCTAGCTAGACCGTCTAGCTAGACCGTCTAGGCCCCCTATACAGTTGCAACATAGACAAGGGCCATTTTCCCACTTCTTTGTGGGGTCACCCAAAAGACTAAACCCTGAAATCCAAGGTGTAAGCTTCAGGGATCGGTATCATCGTCGCCTCTCAAGCGTTACATGCGGCTTGTGAAGGACGGCCTTCACCGCAATGCTCATCGGCCAGGCTCCTTCAGTAAGGTTTACCGGTGTCCATCACGGCTTTGTTTTGACTCAGCTTTAGGGTGTATAGGTGTTTATTGTTGCCAGACTTGTTTAGGGGTTCATGTTTGACATTGTTTCGAGTTTTGGAGGAATGGGCTTACCTTGAACTTTGCAGTAAGGCTCAGGCGGACTGCGCAGACAGTTCCCCCAGTCATTGTCAAGTGGCCGCCAATTTGTTCCAGGGCGACTCTTCTTCCGGAAATCGCTGTCTTTAGCCAAAGAGGCTTTCTAATAAACTACTAAACCCCAAACTGCCTAAACTCCTAACTGCCTGATAGACCCCAAGTCCACAAAGCACGCCCTCACAGGTTCTGTAGAGGCCCACAGCAGGCCCAGCAGGGTTCTGGAGTACCACACTTCAAGGTAGCTGATCGTTCAAGGAGCCTTTGTGAGATTCAAGGCTTCTTAGACCAGGACCCAGAGTAGGCCCTTATTCCCTTTTTTATGGTTTAGGTTCCCTTATAACCCCCTTTACCCCAAAAAGGGCACCCTTTTTATTCCTAGGTTACTCTTTGGTCTAGTAGAGAAACCATTGTAAGGACATGAAAAAATTGACTTTACTCTTCTAGGGTGACTTCAAAACCCTGGTCCTAGCCGGAGCTCGAACAGGCAATGCTTCGGGTTGCAGGCTGTGGTAGACTGTGCACTTGGCGGATCATGGGACTTAGTAAGTCAGGTTCTAAGTTAGAAGTATCTTACTAAGTCCCATGGTCCTTTAAGTAAGCTCACAGCGGCAGGTAGCAGAAGCAAAGTTCAGTGCCCCTCAGACGTTGAGAGGGCCTGCCCCTCACACACTTCATGGGCCACCATCCCACATTGATCTTCCTGAGAGAGCTTATAGCCTTACTTACTAAAGCCAAAACATCAAATCTAAACCCAAACCCAACTCAACCACAAACTAGGCGACCAACCCAAACCCTAAACCTAAACCAGGGTTCCCACAAACCTCTCGTTTGCGCAAGGCGCTGGAATTAGCAGCTAGCCGGCCAGGCATCGCCAAGGGAAGGGGGGCTCTGCCTAAACCCCAACCCAGAGGATACAGTTTTTGGTAATCTTCAAAATATCTTTATTCTGCTCATCTTTATTCTGCTGTTCGTTTTATGGTTCAAAGTATTGCTTTTCAGAGGGCTGTAGTACCTTGATGTAGTTACCTTGTTCTCTTCAGCACGGGTCCTAACTTAGCCAAGCACGCGCTCATTATATTTAAATTTCAGGGTCTAGGTACGATAGAGGTCGCTTCCCTTTCATTCCAAGTTCTGAAACAAGGCCGTCAGTACGTATGCCAACGCTGTATTATAGTATCCTTCAGGGAGGGGGCTCCAAGGGGGGTATATAGCCTAGTGATCCCTAACTCTCCCTAGTACTCCCTAAGGTTCCCCTAAGGATTCCTTGTACCCTCCCCTTGAACCACCCCCCTTAAGGATCCTATAACTGTAGCAACCCTTAGGCTCCTGGACCCTCCTAGTGAGATCCCAAACCTTAGCCCCGAAAGCCCGAAGCCTCCCGCAGAAAGTCCGTGACCCCCTTCGGAGCCTTAGGGAAATCCTCCAAAGAAGCCCTAAACCCAAAACCCTAATCCGTAAACCCTTTAAGGAACCTTAAACCCTTTGAAGGAACCCTCCGGGGGAAACCCCCAAAGGAGGAACAGACGAACAGACTTCACTTCACGTTAGTCCAGGAGCCCGTGTAGTAAACCCTAAACCTGCCCTAAACATAAGACATGGGCTTCATAGTAGTTCCTTTTTTTGGATTACCTTATAGGTTTCTAAATATGAACCACGAAAAAGGAACTACTATGGAGCCTATAGGTAAGTTAAACATCGCATGAACGTCACATGTAACTCTGAGCCCTTTGTCGTAAATTATACACACTCACGCCGCTTTCCTACTTCATTACACTGTGAACCCGAAGCAAATCCTAACAGCCTTAACCGCCTACCCCAAACACAAGCCGGCGGAGAAGCTTACGCTTACAGTACACACACAGACCTATCTGCAAAATCAAAGATCAAGAACCACCATCAAAAAAGAACGGGAACAGCTCATGAGGTGCGGCAAGCACACCTCCTTCGCGACGAGACTTCGGTTACCTTGCCGAGGTTCCGTGACATCAGGAAGAGCCCATCTGCTTGGTAATAAGCCAGGTGTCTGTTCGGCGTGACCGGGCTTATTATAGAGGTGAGGTAGTGGCATGTATACATTTTGATAGAAAGTAAGTTGTAGGTTACCTTGTATGCCATTGTATGTATTGGAAGAGTATATGCACGATATGAGGTTCTAGAGGCACCCGGAAGCTCCGAAATTCCTCAACCAAGACGCCCATGTCCCGGAGCCCTTCTAGACCTTCCAGAATGTTCGGAACTGGGCACCCGTAAATTCATGGACTTAGAACCCGGACCCGGAATCCTAAGCCTGACCCCTTAATGGGTTAAATCAGGGTATATACTGCAGTTAAGCCCCAATTAAACCCCAGACGCCCTGAACCCTAAAGCTAAGAGATACCAGAATCTCTGGAATCCACCAATCAATGAGAGCCGACAAAACCTCCAATCAATGGTTCTATACAACCCAAGAACAACCCTACAAAATCCAAAGCAACCCTAAACCCTATACAACCCCATAAAGGGAACTCCAGAGAGTTGGAATATGGTTTCAGGGTATCCTATAATTTACCATAAAGGGTTTAGGATAATCATATTCCAACTTTCTGGCTTTTACTGTAAAACCACAGTGTGGGAGGTCGCCTTCGGCCAGCAGCTTGGCAGCAGAACCACGCCCGTGTTCTTATGTTGTTGATCAAGGCGTTCTACCACGGTTTAGGGTTTAGGGTTAGGGTTTCTGTATTGCGACATGTTTTAGCCAGCTGTTTTAAAGATGGGCTGCTTAGGCTGAGTTTTTTCAGGAATTCTGTCGTGTTTTGAAGGCTTTGATTTGGGGCTGGGGTCTTCAGAGCTTCAGAGACTCCAGTACAACCCATTTTGGCTTGAGGTACATAACAGCATAAGCCGATCTTGGGCTCTTTGGGTTTGGGGCTTTGGGTTTAGGGTTTACAGGTTTCAGTCAGGGTCAAGCCAACGGATAGTTTGGGGCCTTAATAATAATTAGTATAGGGTCTTGGGGGGCCCATGATTCTACAGTTATAATAATGTAACCCCGCAATGGTATAGGTAATTATTGAGGCCGCTGGAGTAGGGGCTCCCTGTATCTGTGGTGCTAAGGTGGGGCAACCGTCCGGGCCTCGGTCATCTGATACAGCGCTGGAGACTTGCGACTGGATACGGAGCCGGGAATAGCTGGGAGCACAGAGAATCGAGAGGCTAAGCATTTCGGCTGAGGTGTAAGTGGAAATATGACCCATATTAGAGGACTTATAACTTATATCCCAACTTATAACTTACAACTACCTATGAAGGCTATGAACCTATAGTTTCAGACCCTCACCTTGAAGCCCCGAGTACTTTGGCGTTTCGGGCTTTCATGCAGCTCGGGCTTCACACTCTACCTATAGTCTCCATTCTGGCCATTTTTTGGGTTTACCCTATTTTAGTTAGTTAGGATCCCAAAAGGTAGCCCAAAAAAGAAGCCACAATGGAGACTATAGGTAGAGTACAGGGCTGCTCGTTCTGATCGTTCGGAGGGCACGGCAACAGAATGACAAACCCTGAGGTTTAGGGTTTAGGGGTGTTTAGGGTTTGGGGTTTAGGGGTCTTTAGGGTTTAGGGTTTAGGGGAAGCTTGGGCAGGTATCATTGCCATCACCACGGCAATGGAACTTTGGCTGGCTGTGGTGACGTTTCTGGTCATGATCCGTGCCTGCAGTCCAAAGCCAAAGCCGTACCTGAAATAGCGAAGCCAAGCAATAATGTTCTTTCTTTAGGGTTTGAGGCTTAGGGGTCGTGACTAGCTATCGTAGTAAAGTAGGCCCTCAAACCCTGATCGACATATTAAGTTCCCCAGAAGTGGACCTACCTAAACCTGAACCTTTGAGGCCTGGGGTGCAGAGAAAGGTCCCCGAATCCTTGCATGGGAGCCCTAGAAACGCTGGGCCCTTCAGCGAGCCCTTCACCTGCCCCGCCTTCGAGGTTCACAGCCGCAAGCTCGACCTCGACCCCCCCTCCTAACTACCATCCATTACCCCAAGGGTCCAAAGGACCCAAAATAATTAGGTGCTCGGTTTTGGGATAGTAGTTATGTAAGTTAGTATTTTGGAGAGTATATGATTATTAGATACTTGGACCCTTGGGGTTATGCCCCAAATACCCCCTCTCAGGGGCCAGAAGGGCACCACGAACCAAGGGTCCTGGAAAGAGTGTTGCAAGGGTTCAGGGGTTGACGGTTCAGGGCCTTCAGGGATCAGGGATGAAAGGGTTTTGCGATGTCCCTAAACCCCAAGCAACTTCGAAACCCCAAACTAAAAGACATCATCGCCCGAAAGACTCAAAGCCTCAAACACTCGAAGGTGCTAGGCCTTCAGACCCCGAGGGCTAGGCTTCTTGGTGTTTAGGGATTCTCCGGCCCGGGCCTACTGTTGAAGGCTCATGGGACTCAGTAAGTAAGGTTATAAGTAGGCTCAGAACCCCAATTATAACCTACTTACTAAGTCCCATGATCCTCTAAGTACTGTGGAAGGCCACGGCTTCCTTGCACTTTAAAGAACCCGAGAAGCGTTTAAGGTGCATAGACTATATAGGGGTTCATAGTATGCTGGTATAGGGCCCTTACTTCTAAGGGCCATTTGGTCCCTAAGGTATTCACTTGGTTCATCAGGTTTGGAGTTTAGTGCTGACCTCCTGAGGAGTGGCATCAATGCCCAGGGGCTGCTGGGAATGGACGAGCCTCATGCATCTTGGCACCGAAATCCTAAACCCTAAACCCTGTAAATCCTAGACCCCCAGCCCTAAACCCTATAAATCCTAAACCCCTAGCCCTGAACCCTATAAATCCTAAACCCCCAAGCCCTAAACCCTATAAATCCTAAACTCCCAAGCCCCTAAACCCTATAAATCCTAAACTCCGAAGCCCTAAACCCTATAAATCCTAACCCCCCAAGCCCTAAACCCTAAATCTATTTAGGGGTACGGTTCCGGTCCCAGCTTTATCAGTCGAAGGCTCTCGAGGTCTGCAGCCCTCTTCCACGCTGCCCTGCTTGTGTTTGTCATATCATAGCACAATGGGGCAAATTGTGCGAAATATCTATTACTTTTAATTAATTTACGTCATCTTCGCGTTTTCGACCCTCAATGTCCAAAGCAGGCATTATGTGTAATTCGTTTCCTTTGCACATTCGGAGTCTCAGAGATCGTGGTACAGGTGCGGATGAAGACCCCCAGGGACGGCATATGTATGGTTTGTTTACTTACGGCAATGAGACATGCTCGTCGATAAGGTCTTAACTACCGCTTCCACGAGCGAGCTGTTCTTGATGCATTCCCCGCCTTGCTCATGTTCATGCGGAGTCGAAGTCCATGCATTGTCGATGCAGTTAACTAACGTCAACTACTTGGAGGATCATGGGACTTAGCAAGTACGGTTATAAGTACCTTACTTGGGGTTATATGTATAGTTACCCTAATTATTACCCCAGTTACTAAGTCCCATGATCCGTTAAGTACCCCATCATATCCCACATCCTAGACCCTGGACCTCAAATACCGCGGTCGGGCTCTAGTCTCAGGTTTCACAGGGTCTTCTTGGAGCAAAAGCAACCGGCCAAACTTTCCAACTTCGGGTACCACGAACCCGAAGGTTAGTACAGTAAAAGAGTTCTTCAATCTCCTTGACCTAAGCCCTAAACCCTATGAGGTCCTACACCCTTGGCCCAACTCTGAACCCCTAACCTTCAACCCTAAACCTTAAACCCCAATCCCGAAACCCTAAAAAACCCAAACCCGAACCCTTACAAGAAAGGCCGTGGCTTTCTGCACCATGATCACAGCTGTCATGGTCTTCATCCCTTTGCGCGTCTACGCCTACGTCTCCTTGGCGCTTCTTGGTTTCGACGTGTAGTACCATTTTAAAGGGGTTCCTTCAAAGGCATCCTTAAAGAAAGTGATCCTTAAGGGGTTCCTTTGAAGGGATCTTTAAAGGGTTCTACAAGGGATCTATGGGGATTTGGGGCTTACTTGGTTCCGAAGTGCAGCACGCTTTTTTAGGGTTCCTTATAAGGGCTCCTTTAAAGGGATCCATAAAGGGTTCCGATTCTAAGGGATCTACATATAGGGGTTTAGGGTCTAGTAGGTTCCTGAGTAGTGCCCCTTTGCCATTGTTTTACTTTGGGGCCCCAACCCTACCAAATTGTAGTTTATGATCTCATTAGTACAGGGCGTAGCCCCTAGAATCGTAGGTTTCGGGATCCCTGAGCTTTACATAGCTCAAAGAGACAAAGTTTCATTTCGGAGGGTATGTCTCGGACTTTCTGGGAGCTTTGGTAGCTTTTGAACGGATTGCAGCCTTCGCAGCACCAGGCCCGAGCCTCCCTCCCAAACTCGAGAAGTGACGCCATGGCCGCGTTTTTCGTGGCGAGCGATCTCGAAACCACCGATGAGGATTCCGTCACGAACGACTTGCAAACTCCTATCGAAGTGAAGCTTCGGAGTGGGGAGTGGCAGGTGGTGTATCCCCACAGGTCCTGCGATGTCGAAGTGTCGGATGAAGTGGTCACTTCGGTCGAGATTCGCTTGCGCGAAAACCCAGCTTTGAAGGGCAGTTGCCAGGTTGCACAGGGCTCCTCAGTATCTTGGGTAGGCAATGGGAGAACTTTGACTTAAGACTTGTTGGCTTTTCTAGTTGGTCTATCTAAGATGAACTGTTTTGTGCCTGGTTTCGGAAGAAGAGAGGAACTTGAACTTTAAGCTTTTGGAGTTGGTCTATTTTGGATACTTTGAGCGGCCCTAAACCCTAAACCCCAAACCCCAAACCCTAAACCCTAAACTAAACCCTATAAACCCGAAGCTAAACCCTAAACCCTAAATTAAGGCATTACGGGCCTCCGCGGACTTCGAGTCTTTCAGCCGAGAGGCAAAAGGACGCGACCGAGCCGAGGCCCGGGAGTTGGCCCGCGAAGGACTGCGGTTCCTTCCCAGACCCCGGGGAGGATCTAGAAACCCTAAACCCTAAACCCTAAACCCTAAACCCTAAACCCTAAACCCTAAACCCTAAACCCCTAAACCCTAAACCCTAAACCCTTATAGATCCCTTTAAAGGAACCCTCAAAGCATCCTGCGGCGTCGGGAGTCGGGACTTGGCGAATACTCCTGGGGTATAACGGTTTGCCTACACCCAAGTAGTTAATACCATTTGTGTAGAATGCTAGTGTACGGTAGTAAGAGTCTTGAGCAACCAAAAAAAGGTATGCCACCTTCGGATCTGTAATTCAGCTGAAAGGCCCGACCATCATAATAGGGAACCTTAAAACCCCAAGGGTCCAAGTACCCAATAATCATATACTCTCCGAAATCCTAGCCTACATAACTACTATCCTAACACCGAGTACCTGATTATTAGGTCCTTTGGACCTTTGCGGTGAAGATCCCTATAAAGGAACCCTTAAAGCAACCCTATTCCTTTTTTTTTCAGGGATATTGGAGTCTTTGGGTATATGACTCTGGATCTAGAAAGTAGATCTCCTAATTTGGGGCCCTATACTACTAAGGGTACTTTATAGGAATCCCCATTAAGGGATCTACTTTTTGGGATCCTCCCGGGGGTCTGGGTAAATTCTCCATTGTGTAAGGGATTAGGGTTAGGGGTTTGGGGTTCAGGATTTAGGTTATATAGGGTTTACTAGGGTTTAGGGAGTTTCAATTAAGGGATTAGGGATTAGGGTTTAGAGTTTGGGGGTTTAGGATTTAGGCCCGTGAAGGAAAGCGACGGGAGGAAGCCCAGAGGCAGACGGATGAGATGATCGTCGCCAAGAAGCGGGACGCACATGGATTCGGAATCATGATGCGTCTCGGGATATTTTTGGGGCTTCCGTTAGCCCTCCTGATCCTTGTGGCTGCCATAGCACCCGGAAGTGCCCTTGCAGCCGCACTGTTGGCGAGCGCCACGGTGCCGTTGTGCTGCTGGCTCAGCTTCGTCATTCCTGCTTTCAGTCTGCGGACAGAGGACAATGACTTTTTTTCGGGAAAATACGCGCTCTGCGTCGCTGTTCTTCCTCGCCTTGTTGGGGTCCTTGGGTTGGCTGCGCTGGCAATGATGACGGCCCTACATGCACTGCATGGGTTTTGGTGGACCGCAGCCATCGTGTGGCCGGTGCCTTTGTGTTGGGGCGGCCTGTGTCTGTTGCTTGCTGCAGACAGGGGGGATGGGGACTTGACCTACTGGTATGAGCAGAGACGAAAACAGTAAGAATTTCGCACAGAAGCCCTTCAAGGCAAAATCAGCAACCGCAGCATCCGCTTCGAGGGGAGCGTCATCCGTGAGCCAGGCCGGCCCTGCGTGGCCAGCTGGCCCGGGAAGTACGAGGGTGCATGGGAGTCCTTAGTGGCTCAGGGGCGAAACGGCCAAGTCAGTGCAGCGGTCGTCTTCCTCCCTCAAGGCACGGACGACTACGGCAAGTGCGACAGCATCCCAGAAGATGAAAACTTACCCGGCACCTGCTGGTGCACGCCCCTCTACGGTGAGCAGAAGCCCTGGGGTTGTAGGTGGTTTACTAAGTGGAAGGAGAACATCGAAACGGCGGTGCAATGCGGAGCAGAGCTGGAGGTGCACTACTTCCCGAGCCATGTGGGCAAGGGCAAGGTGGAGAGCTTCGACACGGCAGGCGACGACAACCTCCAGAGGGAGAAGGTGAACAAGAAGCAAAAAGACTTCGAGAAGTCTCCCGAGTTCAAGCGGGCGCTGGACGCAGGTCTCGGCAACCTCTCCAAGGAGCCGCGTGGCGACGGATCCTCCCAGTACAGCCGTGAAGCCCGGCGCCTGTTCCTCGCCTCCCTCTCGGAGACAGAGCGTCAATTTCTCGCAGCCTCTGAGGGCCTCGGCAACTCCCAGAAAGCCGAGGTCGCCTGGTTGGAAAAGAAGGGCTACACATATTGGGAGGTGGACGTCTCCACGTGGCTCCCCAAAAAATAAAGGTCAAAAAAATCCCGCTATCTCACGAACGAGATCCCCTACTTTATGGCCGGGAAGACGATGTTTCACCTGTCTCAATCTCGATAGCTCTCCTTACGAAAGCAGACTAGTACGGTGGATGATATGAATCCTCCATTACCTTAAGGACCCTAAATTGGCAATTATGGTGTATTCCTCATTATGGGTAATGCAGGATTTGTATCATCAACCGTAGGCAAAATGGTATCCTGATTATGAAGGGGTTACTCAACCCTGCTGGCTTCGCAACAGACCGTTGTCCTAGATTGGATCAGTGGGTTCCCCCACGTTCCCCTACTACGTGCAGGGATTCCTTCGTTCCATCGGCAAAATCGGAGTGTTTAGGTTCCGAAGACGTAAACTTCAAACCCTCGAATCCCTTAACTCTGTTGAATTCTGGATCCAGACCATAAACAACTGATCGATCTTTAGATGACCTTCATCAGACAATACCGGTAAAGCTTTACGCCGGAGCTTCGGGTTCTGGGCGTTCTTAGCCCCAGATGCTAGACCCCCGCGATCCCGAAAGCCTCGACCTCGACCTCGGAAGAGTTCGAAAGTCCTTCCTGAGGTTTCACCTCTGCCGAATCAGCGATTGCTCCCCTCCTCCTCCCCCTCCTCCTCCTCCTCCTCCTCTTCCTCCTCCTCCTCCTACTCCTCGACTACCACAAAACAATCGCTACCGCTGCGGCTGCTGCTGGTGCCGGTGCTGCTGCGAGTATTGCTTCTGCCACGACGATCACTTCTTTCACTACTTTCGCTGCTACCACTAGCAGATTAGCTCTCCCACCGCCACTACTACGACCATGGATGCAGACCAGACAGGTGGCTTCGGCCAACCGAACGGCTGCAAGGTCTTAGGTGTGATTTGGAAATTTCAGGCTCCCGAGACAAGGAGCTTACACCTACGGCTCGGGGTGTACTTCGTAGGTCGATCTCAGAGTTTCGGATCCAGTTTACCCAGAGGCCCCATAGTAGTTCCTTTTTGGGATCACCCGGTAGGATTCTATATATGAACCCCCAAAAGGAACTACTTTGGGGCCTTTAGGTAAAGGTTTGGGCTGTGTAATCTGCGATCTGTCCTAGGTCCCTGGCAGCACTCTGCGTTGCCAGCGTCGCTTACTTGATCGACTTGTGGCTTGGATGAGCGAAGGTGGCTTAGGGTCTTAGGGTCTAAAGGGTTTAGGGTTTAAGGGTTTAGGGTTTAGGGGTTAGGGTTTAGCGATGTTAGGGTTTAGGGTTCAAGGGATTCAGGGTTTTGAGGTCTAGGGCTTTCAGGGCTTTCAGGGTTCAGGGTTTACAGGGTCCCCCTGAAATTACACGGTTTCTGAGAATGAGGAGCCTTTGGAACATGTAAAAGGTAATTAGCCAAGGTCCTTTAGCCTCTGGTTTGGGACTATAGGGCTTGAGGTTGGGGGCTTAAGGTCTTTAGGTGATGGTTTGAATCAATTTGTGATTTCCGGTATTTCCGCTGCTCCGAGTATGGTTAGAAGGTTTTCAAAAATTGTTTCTTAGCTGCGGCTGGCACTCCAAAATCGGGAACCTAAAATCCCTTAACCGAGTACTCGAAACACGACCAGGGCGTTACGACTGGGCGGGCCCCTGGTACATTTTTTATTTTCTCGGTTTTGGTGGGGGGTTGTTGATTTCCTCACTTGCGATCTGCTTTTGTGCTGGTGTGGCTCCTTTATCGTCGTTGTGTTTCGTGCGTGACGTCGATGCCGACCAGATTGGCGATGAGCCAGGGGCTCGGCTTGTGGTTGTGGCTCCCCCTCCCTCCTAGCTTCCGTCGATCGTGCCGAGGTCGAGCCCGACGAATGCCACAGCCGGGCCCTCGTCGAAGCCAGTCGACTTAACCCTAAACCCTGAACCCTCCTGCCAGGCTTCACTCGAAGATCTTCGTGCCGGCATCGCGCTCAGTCCTCAGATTACTTTTTGGGATTTGGGGTTTTAAGGTTTTCTCGGTAATCAATCAATCAATTCAGGGGTTTTGGAGGGTTCAGGCATGGTTTAGGATATGAGTTTTCCAATCATGTCGATGATCCTCTTCAGCATGTTGTGATATAACCTACACAGACACATATCTCGTTATACGCACACATCTGCACACACATCATGATGCATGTATGTATATATATTACATGTTTTTAATATTATATAATATTATATAATAACCCCTGACCCTAAGTAACCCGGGCCCTGCACCCTACTGTCCCCTTGAACCTCCGAACTACCGTAGACGCTACTGTAACCCCATCCCACTTATCCTTATGCCTCTAGACACTAAACCCAAAACCCTGGATTGCCCCTTTATCCTTATCGCTAGCTAGACCCTAACTAAGCCCAAAATGCCCCGCGTGCCAGTGCCTCGACAGCCACCTTCCAGATCGGCTCCAGCCTCAATCAGTTTAAGTGCGGTTTAGTTACTGTTGGGGGTTTAGGGTTGGGGGTGTTATAAACGGTTGGGGTTGTTCAGGGCACGGTTTAGGTTGCAATATGCCTACATATAAAGATATTTACTGGTTGGCTTAGGGTTTAGTTAGCTAGGGTTGAGGGTTTAGCGTTGAAGGTTTATGGTTGGAGGGTCTCGGTACACCCCTCTATGCAAAGCCCTTATGCTTCTCCCATTGTTTTTGGGGTATTAATGGATTTGCTATGTGCTGGTGTGTATGTATTATACATATATATATATGTTTATACAATCGAGTCAAGTAATCAGGCTAAGCACGGGACCCCCATTCAACCCTATCATAAATGCACCCTCGGACCCCGTATAACAACTCCTTCAGCCTTGATCTGGTGGTATTTCCGTCCGAAGCCACAAATCCTAACCCTACAATAAGTCCCCCTGCTGAGAATCTGGAGGTATAAAGTAAAGTTCATGATTGGGGTCGTAAAAAGGGGTTTAGGCGTGGTTTCGGGTTACAGGTTTGAGATTTTGACGCTTACGCTGTAAAATAGAGTTCCTTCATTTGGGGTCATAGACAAGGGTTTAGGTGTGGTTTCGGGTTCCCGGCTACAGGGTATAACTTCTGGTTTATATTATGTCTTGAGCTAGGGCTTGAGGGGTAAGATTCAGGGTGGGGTTCAGAAAGCAGGATGTCAGGCACGGACGCAGACAGAGGCGCGAAAGACTAATCGAACCTAGTAGCTGATTCCCTCCGAAAAGTTTCCGGGGTGGCCGCAGTGGCCTGACTTCGGTCAGGCCCTGTGGCTCCCTGGCTTGCAGTCTTCTTCAGCAGCTTGGCTGGGGTGGCCGCGGCGGCCTGACTTCGGTCAGGCCCTGTGGCTCCCTGGTTTGCAGTCACTTCTTCAGCTTGGTCCGGGTGGCCGCGGCGGCCTGACTTCGGTCAGGCCCCGTGGCTCTCGGCCTCGCTTTCAGCTTGGTCCGGGTGGCCGCGGCGGCCTGACTTCGGTCAGGCCCCGTGGCGCTCGGCCTGGCTTTCAGCTTGGCTCGGGTGGCCGCGGCGGCTTGACTTCGGTCAGGCCCCGTGGCTCTCGGCCTCGCTTTCGGCTTGGTCCGGGTGGCCGCGGCGGCCTGACTTCGGTCAGGCCCCGTGGCTCTCGGCCTCGCTTTCAGCTTGGTCCGGGTGGCCGCGGCGGCCTGACTTCGGTCAGGCCCCGTGGCTCTCGGCCTCGCTTTCAGCTTGGTCCGGGTGGCCGCGGCGGCCTGACTTCGGTCAGGCCCCGTGGCTCTCGGCCTCGCTTTCAGCTTGGTCCGGGTGGCCGCGGCGGCCTGACTTCGGTCAGGCCTCGTGGCTCTCGGCCAGTTGATTGATCGGCCTGACCCCCAGGCACAGGCATTGGGGCTTCAGAAATTTCAGTAATACCATCACCACCCCAGTATTTTGACGTTCGCAATACAGAGTTCTTTGTGGGACGGGATGTAGCCTTTGCGGCTTGGGGTCTGGATTTTGAGACTAAAGGCTGCATGGTTTTCAAGCCCTCCTGCTCAGACCCTAAACTCTGAGACCCTGGACTCGAGATCCCACTGCATTAAATTATGAAATCCTGAGTGAGTTCTAAACCATATAATATAAAGTCTACAAGCCTGGATCAAACTTCTAAACACTCTCTAGACTTAGGCGTTGAGGATACTCAAACCCTGGACCCTCAAGCAGGAACTGTCAAACTCGACCCTGGAACCCAAACCATAAACTCTGCAATCGTGGACCCCAAACCAAAATGACTCTCAAAGACTGTACCATCCAACATGAAATCACCAGCCCTGGGCCCTAAATCGCGATGTCTCTGAGACCATTTAGTTACTGTGGGCTGGAGTCATTTCTTTGTATCCGAGGTCGTGGTCCTGCATCAGCTTCTGGTTGCCGCCGATGCTGAAGAGGACTGCATGGTCGTTGCTATTGTGTTTCGGGAGTTGGCCTGGCCTCGTTTAGACTTAGACAAGTGATGTTTCATCTCTCTTTCCGGGTGTTTGTTCGGTCGGGGTTGAATTACCAACGAGTGTTGGCTCGGCCGCACATTTTGCTAAAGTGGCATGTCGAAATCCTGAACTTACACCCGCAACCCTAAACTATGCCATGTTGCATTTGAACAGCTGTGCAACCCCGCGGACATGATTGCTCGGATCGGCTTTCACACATAGTACCAGGCATGATTGAAGTCCCGCACTAGGTACAGTAGAAAACCTTCAATTTCAATTACCTGATCCAATGAAGTCGGTTCCTAAATCCCAGCATCTTCAGAAGCATGGGGTAAAGATCCTGGTCTGAACCTAGATTGACCTTTGGTTGGCTGGCTTCAGTCACACCTCCGCTGTAGCTTCACATTAAGCCTAACGCTGGTGGGCCTTCACACCCAACTGAAACTGAGTATAGACCTTTAAGCCTAACGCTAGTGGGCCTTCACACCCAACTAAAACTGAGTAGCTGACCTTTCACCTTTAGTTTTAAACTCACCCACAGCTCCGCTGTAGCTTTCCATTAAGCCTAACGCTAGTGGGCCTTCACACCCAACTGAAACTGAGTAGCTGACCTTTCACCCTGAGTACTTAAACTCACTGACTCACCGTACTTTAAGTTACAGTTAAGCCAGAATCGCCCACCGCATCCTTCGCCATGGCCGACGGAGAAGGATCGGAGGAGGAGGAGGAGGAGCATCCAGTCGAGCGCAAGAGGAGCAAGGGCAACAAGAAGACGCGCAAACGAAGAAAGCTGGCGAAGGAGGAGGCGGCAGCTGCAGAGTCGACGAGTGGTGGCGCTGCAGCTGCAAAGTCGACGAGTGGCGGCACTGCAGCTGCAAAGTCGACGAGGGGTGGCGCTGGTAAGTCGAAGCCCAAGGCTGGAAAAGTCATCGAGAGAAAGAGTCGAGATGCCCCGCAACTTGGCCCCATTCAGTCCAAGTTTTGTTCTCTGGTTTCCGGTGGCGTATGTCTGTATGTATTAATCTGGCCTGTGGTTTTGTGTTGCGATCCAGGATGCCGTCCGAGCCAGCCTCTGGCAGTCGAGATGCCCCGCAACTCGGCCCACTCAGTCCAAGTTTTGTTCTGGTTTCCGGTGGCGTAGGTCTGTAGGTATTGATCTGGCCGGTGGTTTTGTGCTACGAATCCCAGGAGGTCTTCTGAGCCATCCTCTGGCAGTCGAGATGGCCCGCAACTCGGCCCCATTCATTCCAATTTCTTTTCTTGGTTCCGGAATCCGGTGGCACAGGCCTGTAGGACTAATCTGACCACTTGCAGTTGTTTTTTGCGTTCCAGGATCGCCCGCAACCCAGAGGAGGGGCCGGAGGTGGTTGACGAACATGTCCAGGTGTTGCAGGCTGAGGTGTCTTCAGCGACGTCAGTCGAGCTGAGCCTTGGACCGGCAAACTGTGAAGACTCGAAACCTTTCCCGGCTTAAGCCCGTTCTATTATTTGTCATGGCTTCATGATACTTAGGCTTAGGGGGACCGCTGGAGATGTAAGGTTCCTTTTGAAATTTGACAGGATTCACAAGTTTGAGGTGTTTCTCCATCTCAGGCGATACCAGGCTTTGTTCCGCCTGTGGCTCCTGATCTCGACCCGCCTCACGTGGCTTTGGGCACGCTACGAGCACGCCGCTTGGATCCTCAAGACATTTTCAAACCCTAAGCCTTAAACTTAAACCCTGCCGAATTCCTAGTTGCGGGAGTGTAAA